CCCCACACCCCGCCCGGCTTGCGCCGGCGCCCGAGCTCGAGCGCCTTCTTCGCCCCGTTCTCTTCCCTCCCCGAGCTTTCCTCACCGAGCTTTTTCCTCCGGCCCCGGCGCCGTCGTTTGTGCCAGCCGCCCAGCGCCGCACAGCGCGCCATACCCCGCCCCCACCTCCCGCGACGCTCCGCCCCCGCCTCGCCCGGTGGGCACGTGACCGCGCCCCCGGAGGAGACGGTGCGTGCGCAGGCGCGAGCCGCGCGGGGCGGAGCAAGGAAGTTCAGAACACCCCCCCCCCCCGCAAGATAGGGGAAATGGGTCGGTCGCCAACAGGAGGCTCATTTGCATACTGCACTCCGCCCCTTATGGGAGAAAGGCTGTTAGAAAGGGCAGGATCAGGGAAGGGCGGGGGGAGTTCCGCGGTTAGGCCAAGCAGCGTGGGAGAGGCATACAAATACGTCTATTTGCATAGGCCGGCCCACCCCTCAGAGTCCCGACCGCCGGAGAATGACGCTCAGCGGGGCGGGACAGTGGCATGCAAATGATGTTATTTACATGGACAGCCCCTCCTTCTCGCAGCCCCAAAATAGGGCTGCGATAGAGCAATGTCTGCGCAGTTAGTTGAGAAATGTATGTAAATGCGCACATTAGTTAAGTAATTTACCTAAGTACTTTCTGTAACGGAGGGAAAAAAGTGCGGAACATCCCTGAGAGAGGAAGACTAGACTGGAAGGGATGCCACAGTATGACCCGCTCCAACCTGCCCTTCCGGGACAATTGTGGGAACCCGAATAAAGCAACCTAGGAAAGCTACGCAGAGTACGCAGAGAAGACATTCGTCTAACAGCCTCGGGTCTAAGAACAGTTTGGGCGACCCAGCCTGGAAGGACTATGCAGATGAGGTCATTTAAATGCCCCGCCCCCTCCACCACCGCCAGGGCGGCGGGGGGGAGGGGGGGCTCAAGCCTACCCTGTGGGTGGGCTACTGCTGACTTGGGGATGGCAGAGAAGTGGGAGTGTCCTGAGGGGGCTGCACCTGTCCCTGGCAGAGCACTTGCGAGTTTCGTCAGTTCACCACGACACAAAAGAGATACACACCGGTCTCAAGTATGCACAAGTCAGGGTTGCACAAAGGCCCACAAGGTCCTCAGGGGCATACTCAGGGTTCATGGTCACACGCAGCTGTATCAGGGGTGCCAAATTCACACAAGACACACACAGACCTCAGGGGCATAAACGCACAGTCACACACGCAACAATCAGACACTGCCTGGGACCTTCAAGCATCAAGGATGCATGGAGATCACCTATAGGCCTGAATTTTCATTCCCTGGACTTGGTCCCAAACAACACCAGCCTCATGGGTACAATCACCAAGGACACAAAGTAGTCACGAGCAACAGTGTCACACACACAACCAAGACATATTCCTACAGATGCTGTCACACACACCATCACAAGCACAGGACATCAGTGCTACACAGGTGGGCCCCCAGCATGCCTTGTCACAACACGGTGGGGTTACAGACTCCCTCCACAACACCACCTGAGTCATGGTGTCCCCCCACACCACAGCCAATCCAGAAACATGACCCCCACACACCATGACACGTGGTTCTTCTTCCATCAGGGACCTCTTCTGTCTCCCCTCCCTCCCAATGCCCCCAAAATAACAGAGGCCAAGACACAGGTGTAAACAATGCTTTATGGGGGTGGAGTGGGGACTGGACAGGCCTCCAGGCAATAAATAACACGTACTCGCAATGGCGGGGAGCTGGGGCCAAATGCCCTGGTCTCAGGCTTTGGGAACTCTTTGAGTATGGTTAGGGGTTCCGGGGGGACAGGGGTTAGCCAAGACAGAGGAAGCAGCAGCAGGTACGGATTCCCCCTTCCCCCGTGGCTCAGTCTTGCCCCTCAGCCAGGCCCCACCAGGCCAGGGAAGGGGGACAGGTGGCGGGGCAGCTTCTCTGGGGCCAGGACAGGTGAGGGGCTCGGCCTCCCAGGGCCTGGGTCTGGGCCCCAGCCAGAAGGGCAGGGCTGGTCCTGGAGAACGGGTGAGCTGAAAGAAAAGTGTGTGGTGAACTAAAGGGACCCTGGGTCTGCCTGGCTGGTGTCTCTGTCCCTTTTCTGGGTATCTTCCTGCCCTCCTATCTGTGTCTGTCTGTCCATACCTTTCTCTTTCTTCCAGAGTTTCTACATTGTCTGATTTTCTGTTTCTCGTCTGCAGGTAATTTGGGGCTGTCTCTGAGGGCCTTGCATCTCCCTGTTTGTCTGAGAGCTGATCCCTTAAGTCTGCAGAGGGATATCTAAATTTCACGTCCCCACCTTGGTATCTCTGTGTCCCTCTATGCTCCTGGATTGCCCTGGCTCATTCCAGTGTTTTCCAAACTGAGGCAACACCTTCAGTTAGTGGTTGTTGCTTCAGCTACATATAGCATTACCTGGGAGCTTCTAGAAATCCGGAAATCACTTCAGAATCTCTGGGGTGAGGCCCAGGCATCAGACTCTTTTAAAGCTCTCCAGGTGATTTCAATGTGCAGCACTGCATTAGTGGGTTGGGAAATCAGTGTGGTGGGCCTTGGGCAATTTTTCAATGAAATAGAATAAAATAGAAAATATCAGAGGGGCATCATATGTAATAAGAGTATTGGTCCAGGGGCACTTGGGTGGCTCAGTTGTTAAGCGTCTGCCTTCAGCTCAGGTCATGATCCCAGGGTCCTGGGATCGAGCCCCGCATCGGAGTCCCTGCTCGGCAGGAGGCGTGCTTCTCCCTCTCCCACTCCCCCTGCTTGTGTTCCCTCTCTCACTGTGTCTCTCTCTGTCAAATAAATAAATAAAATAAAATAAAACTAAATTAAATTAAAAAGAGTATTGGTCCATAGGGACAGCAAGCAGAATGGTGGGTGGCAGAGGCTGGGGGGGTGGGGGGGGGGAATGGGGAGTGACTGCTTAATGAGTATGGGGTTTCCTTAGGGCAACGAAAATGTTTTGGAACATTTTCATGGCTAATGTACGCCATGTGAATTTCACCTCAATAAAAAAAACAACAACAAAAACATAATATTAGTGCTAGGAAAATATGTTTCAGCTTTATGTGTGTGTAACTGTATCAGATTGAGACATATAAAATGTATTTTCTCCTGCAGAGTGCAGTCAACAACGTTTGAAAAAGCGCTGTCTTACTCCATTTGATTCACTGAGGGCAAACTCTGAAATGGATGCTATACTAAAGCCCTCAGGTGACGAATACATACCCATCCATTTCTACACAGCCCAGACTCTTTAAAATGGATAGTCAAAAGAAAAATAACAAACAGCCCTCATTTATCAAGTCTTTACTAAGTGTCAGGCCCTGTGCTAAGGACTTTACATGTATTGATGTAATTAATCTTCTCAACACCCAGAGGAGGTAGGTACTATTATTTTACAGGTGAGGAAACCAAGAACCCAGAGTGGTTAAATAATTTGCCCAGAGTCACGCAGATAGGAAATGACAGAATCAGAGTTGAAACCCAGGCAGCCCAGCTCTGGAATCTCTGACCTGTCACCTCCTTCCCTTCTCAGATGGGGAAGACAAACGCAGCACTGATCAAGGGTTCAGAGCTGAATGCTTTAAAAAGTAGGGGGCAGCTGTGAAACCACCCGGCTAGAGTTAGGGACCCCATGTGGGAAGCTAATAAAGGTATCCTGCAGGAAGAATCATTTTGGCAAAGATCAGATAATGAGGGGCAGTTGGCAGAAGAAAGGAGGTTGGAGGACAGGCACGTCCACTGAGGCACGGCAGATGCAGAGGCATGAAGGAAACAGGGCTGCCCAAAACACTCACCCTTGACTCCTCTCTCTCAAATGCCATATCCATTCATCAGGAAATCATGTTGGCTCTGCCTTCAAAGTATATCCAAGGTCTGAGCACTTTTCCCCACAGCCACCCTGGAGCCGCCAATGGCTAGAAGCAGGGGAGGGGGGCAGGGGCGTGAAGCACAGGGGAGAATTGGCAAGACATACACGCTCTCAAAGAGGTGGGGATGGGACCTCATCCTGTAGGACCTTGCAAGCCCAGCAAGGAGTGTGGACCAAGCATAGGGGAAGCAAGGCCTCCTGGAGGAGAGGGAGGAGGGAAGAGAGGGAAGGAACAGTGTTCCTGGCAGAGGGAACAGCATGAACAAAGACCCAGAGAAATGGGAAGAACTCCAGGGTGCCTGCAGCGGCCTGAGTGGTGGGGAGAGGTGTGAGTTGAGGCAGGTGAGGTTAGCAAGGGCAAACACCAGGCTAGGAGCTTCGGCTCTGTCCCATGGACCCTGGGAGCCACGGGTGGTTTTAAACGGGGGAAGGACAGGATCAGATTTGTGCTTTAGAAAGACCCAGTGGCTACATCAAGAGGGGACAAGACTGGAGACAGAGACCAGGGAGGATACAAACCTAGCCACGTCTCAGTCCCTCTTCTGCCCGCCACCACCCTTCCATCCTGTCCACCACTGTCTCTCAGCCTGACTCTGCAGTAGTCTCTCACTGGTCTCTCAGCAACCACTCCTGCCCACCCCCTCCTCTCCTCTATATGCAGCCAGAGGGATCCTGGGAACACCTGAATCAGGTCCTGTCCCTTCTCTGCTCAGAGCCCTCCCATGGCTCCCATCCGACCCACGGTATAACCCAGAACCTCCTATGGACAACAAGGCCCTATCCGATCTGCTTCCCCCCACCCCTGACCTCAACTCCTTCTCACCTCCCCCGCCTCCCAATGCACACACATACTCCACTCCAGCCACATTGGCCTCCATGGACTTCCTCATCCAGGCCAGGCATGCCCCTACCTCAGGGCCTTTGCACTGGCTGTTCTCTCTGCCTAGAACACTCATCCCCCAGGGACCCATATGACTCCCCCCCCCCAATTCCCTTCCTTAAGGTCTTTGCTCAACTGTCACCTTTTCAGTGAGGGTTTCCCTCATCATCGAAAATCTCCACTCCTCACCTCCCTACCCCCCGCTTTCCCTTTATTTTTCTCCATGGCTCTTATCTTCTTAACTACCACGTCATTTTCTCATGTGTCTTGTTTATTGCCTGTCTCCTCCCAAGAGCATGTTGGCTCCACGAGGGCAGGGACTGTCTGTTTGGCCCACTGCTTGAACAGGACCTGGCACACAGCGGACACTCGATAAATATTTGCTGAATTATGAACAGCTGGGTCAGAGATCCAGGGCCGTGAGCTGGTGGCAAGATGGAAAGGACATCCCCGAGGCCAGGACGATGGCTCCTTTCACTCGACTCTCTTTGCATCTTTCTCACTCTTTTCTCTCATCGCCTCTCCTTTTCTATGTCTCTGTCTCTGCTCCGTAGTCCCCCTTGCCAGGACCCCACCCCTGCCGTCCCCGGGCCCCAAGCTCCCACCTGGCTCTGCACACACGTCTCAGCAGCCACAGGGCTGAGGGGCCACGGCCTGGGCGCTCCGAGGCTGCCGCAGCTGGCGGAGGGAGGCGTCCCCGTACTGAATGCCTGAGCCCATCCTCTCAGGGTCGAGCTCGCCTGGGGGCAGGGGGCGGCAGGGGAGAGGTCAGGACTGGTCCCTTGGGGACCTCTGGGCCCTGCCTTCCGCTCCCGCTCCCACTCTGGGCAGTCAGGGGCCTCACCTGAGTCGATCTTGTTCAGGATGGTGCGGGCACACTTCAGGAAAGCCTCTTCCACGTTCTCACCCGTGAGGGCGCTAGTCTCCAGGAACATCAGCTCTGGGGGCAAGGCCTCGGTCAGTCCCCACCCGCCCCTTGACTCTGACCTGCCACCTCTCATTCTGCTCCTCAAGCCTTCCACCTCTGCCCTCACTCCAGGCCCTCGCCCAGGCTGCTGCCCTGCCACGGAGGGTCCCCCTCCCCAGGCGGTTCCCGCCTACACACCTTCTCCTCCAGAAAGTTCTCCCTGACCTCCCCGCATGGATCAGGTGCCCTCCCCGCCCCCTGGGCTTCCACAGCCCCCTGTGCCTCCCCTATCCCAGCCCTGACCTCTCGGGGCTGTCACTATCTGGAAAGGGTCGTGTCTCCCTTCCCCACCCACTGGACTGTGAGCCCGCGAGAGCTGGGCCCAGGGTGTCTTTAAGGCTATGTCCCCAGCACCATCAAGGACAGGCCCAGGCCCACCACAGTCCACTCTTCAGCCACATGACAAGGCCTCACAGAAAGTAAGAGGCAGGACTCAAGCCCACATCTTTCGGATTGGCAAAACATCCTCCAAATCTGGAGGTTACCAACTGGTGGGACACGGACAAACCCTGAGCTAGTAGGTGTTTGGCCAACACGAAGTTTCCAAATGAGTTTATACTCACACACCTTTTGATGTGGCTGTCGGTCCTGTCCACGCCCCTAAGGCTAGTGCCTGCTAACTTGGGGTCTACCCCGTCCTATCTCCCTTATTCCCAAAATAGGCCTGTCCTCTCGGGCCATCGGAGTTTGCAACCTCCACATTACGCCAACAGCCTGCACTGGTGGAAAGCTTCTTAGCAGCCAACATTAATCAAGCATCCAGGCAGTCCAGAGGGCTCTCCAGTGCCCGACCCCCTTAACCAGCCCACGCTACGCGAGGCAGAAACATTGTGATTCCCACTTCCCTGACAAGGAAACGGGACCAGAATGGTCACACAGCTCACAGGTGGCAACACTCGAATTTGAACCCAGACCCTCAATCTCCACATTCCCCTGCTAGGCACAGCCACAGACAGCCCTGAGGCCCACGGACCACAGTGAACAGCCCCCGCCCCTCTGCTGAGGCCCCTCCCCCACTGGCCCACCACAGGGTCCTCACCATTCTCCTGGGCAAAGCGGGAGGCCTCCAGGAAGGTGACCTCACGCTCAGGGTCCAGGTCTTTCTTGTTGCCACAGAGGATGACCACGATGTTGGGGCTAGCCAGTGTGCGGGCGTCCGTCAGCCAGGCAGCCAGTGAGTTGTACGTCTCCCGGCTATGGAGAAGGGAGAGAGGAGGGAGGGAGGCAGGCCCAGGATAGGGGCCCCGCCCAGGCCCTGCCCCACCCTCTCGGTGCACCCACCTGGTGATGTCATACACCAGCAGGGCTCCAGCCGCCCCTCGGTAGTAACTCCGTGTCACCGACCTGTGGGGCCAGGGGGACCCAGTCACCCCCGACTGCCCTGAGATTGCCCCCCTCTGCGGAGAGAGACTGGTGGTTCGGAGGCCCCCCCTTTACTGCTGGCCCATCCCCCCAAAAGCTGCCGGCAGTCTGGTCTCACAATTTCCTTCTCTGCTGGTCTCTCTGTCTCCCTCAATCTCTGTCTCCCTTAGCTGTCTGTCTGCCTCTGTCAGAGTCTCTCCCTGTCTTGGACTCTCTGTGTGTCCTTGTCTTTCTGTATCTCTTCATTGGTCTGCGTCTTTCTGTCTGTCTCTCTTACGTGTGTGTCTCTCTCATTCCCTAGGTCTGTCTGTCTGTCGCTCTGGCTCTGGTTCTCTCATCCTCACTCTTGATTCCTCACGCATTCGCTCCTTCCTCATTTCCTGCCATCTCCCCTTTGCCCAGTCCTGGTCAAGTGCTCTGATGACATCTGCTTGTCCCTCTCCTGCCATGTCTCGGGGAGGCCCCGTTCCCAGGGTGGCCGACAGCCTGCATCTCTGTGTCACCTGTCTGTTCCTCCTCGAACTCAGGCAATCATTCCACAAGTATTCACTGAACACGTACTGCAAACCCAGCACATGCCGCGTACCTTCGCCCTGTCTGTCTCGCTCACACAGCAGAGCAACACACCGATATTAACTTAGCAGCTACTATGTGCTGGCCCGGGCCCACACCTCTCCATGGACTCGATCTCCTCATGTCCCTCTTCTCGCTGTCTCTGTTTCTCAGACTCAGGGTTTCCACGCATCTACCACCTTGTCTGCAGCCATTTCCTGAAGACATACTGTGTGCTGAGCCCCACATGGTTCTCTCCCCTCCGCCACACACACCCATTTCTCCATCTCTCTGGCTCCGCCTGTCCCACCCTCCCGGTCTCTAGCTCTGACCTGTTTCTCTTTGCGTCTCTTTATCAACCTTCCCTTGCTCTTCTTCTCAGTCTCTGTCCTTCTCTGTCCCTTTCTGAGTGTATCTCTTTTCTCGTTTGCCTCTCTTTCAATCTCTCTCTTTCCACCTCTGTCGCCAGCCCCCATCCCAAACGCTTCTCCCCAGGCACAAGTCTCCATCCCTCCACCCATATGGGTCGGTCTACTGCAGTCTCTCTAGGGTCCATGGGTCTCTCCCTTCGTTATGCTTCTTTCTCGACCTCATTTTCCCTGGCTACCCCTGCTCTCTCTCCAGGACCCCTGCTCTCTCTGGCTATAGGCACCTGCACTCAGTCTCTGTCTCTCTCCCTCGGCCTTGCCTGCCCTCTCACTGTCCCTGTGCCCCTGTCAGATCTCCAAGTGACTGCACACGGCTCTGTGACTCCGTCTTCCTCTCTTTTTCTCTCCCCTCTCCTCTGCCCCTCTCCCTTGGGAGCCCGGCCCACCTACCGAAACCGCTCCTGGCCAGCTGTGTCCCAAATCTGGAGCTTCACAGTCTTCCCACCCACGTTGACCACCCGAGATCCAAACTCCACGCCGATTGTGTGGTTGGAGTCCTGTTTGACTGGGAGTGGGAGGGAGAGAAGAGGCAGTGCAGGGGCTCAGAAGATTCCCTGTCCTCCCAGGCCTCCTCAGCCTGTACAGAACCATTCTCGTTGCTGGGGTGACTGAGGATCAAGGAGGATCTAGCAAAGGCGAGGGCCAGGCAGCCAGCCCTGCCCCTGCCCCCGCCATGCCCACGCCCACAGTTCAGTGCTCCCAGGACCACTCCCAGAAACTCACACTTATTCTCAATGAACTGATGAAGGAGACATGATTTGCCAGTTCCTGCACTGCCAATCACCAGGAATTTGAAGAGGAAGTCTGAGCAGATGGAGCCAAGATCAGGGAAACCCATATGGAGAGAATGATACAGGGCAAAACATGGAAACCAAGAGACCATCACAGTTACAAGGGGACAAACAGACACAGGCAGAAACAGAGCAACAGTAACAACAATAACAGACAATTCTTATACAGTGCTTACCACATAACAGGCACAGTTCTAAAGTTCTTTACTACAGCAAGCTCACTTAGTCCTCAGAAAAACTCTACGAGGGAGGTATACTAACAAGTATCCCCATCTTCCAGATGAGGAAACTGAGGCCAGAAAGGTTAACTGGCTTGCCCAAGATCCCATAGCTGGGCAGGGCTGGGATTCGAACCCAGGTCAGCTCGCTCCAGAGTTCAAAAGCTTAGCTATTACCTTGTTAAAGCCTCTTGAGAGCCATCTTATCGAGGACTACAGCCTTGCCCTTGCCCCTCATGACTTCACCTCCCACCACCCTGGCCTTCAGTCTACTTCCTGAAAATTGCAAGCTGGTTCCCACCTCAGGGTCTCTACACTTGTTCCCTCGGCTTTTCTCTACTTGTTGAAGGAATGTAGCTCCTTCTTACTCTTAAACTACTGCTGCTTCTACCGCACCCTGCCCTCCCACCTCCTCTTCATCCACCCATCCAGATTTTCCAATTCTCGGTCCCTCCGTCCCTCCCTCTACCCAAGGTACTGCCCCTGTTTTTAAGTTTAAGCCCCACCCCTTGCCACTAGTCCCTCCCACCACCTAATTCAAAGACAACTCAACCCCAACCCCACTGCAGACCTCTCAAGCCAGAGCAGTCCCGGGGTCCCACAGCATCCCCTCAGGGTTCTCCCAGCCCACCATCCTCAAGCCCTGCCATTCACAGAGTCAGCCCCACCCCATCCACTCAGGCTCCGCCCCGACACATTAAGACTCACCCTTTCCCTCCAGGCCTGCGCAGGTCCATCAAGGCTGGCTGCCTCAAATCCCGCCCCAGATCTATTTAACCCACACACCAGACCCTCAGGCTCCGCCCAAATCGATGGAGCTCAGCCTCGGACCCACTAAACCCCTCCCAGCATCCACTAGGCCCTGCCCCATGCCAGACCCCGCCCCCTGGCACATAAGGCCCCGCCCCACTCCCCAAAGGCCGCATCCTCCCTGGGCCCAGACCCCAGACCCCGACTTCGGCCCACCACCCTCACCGTAGGTCTCGGCCATGACTCGGTCGCGGCCGCTTGGGGCCGCAATATGGCGCCGCGGCCGCGCCTGCTCCTCGGCTGGCAGCCACTCCACTCCGGCTGCAGCCCCGGCTCCTTCCTACTCCCGGGGCCGGCGCCGCCACTTCCGCCTCCACCCCCCTACGGCGCGACCCGCTAGGGCTGCGGGATACCAGGCCACGCTTCCCCAAGACAGGGATTGGCGAGCTCGACGGCCAGGAGGCGGAACAGAAGGCGCGGATTGGCGGCGTGAGAGGGGACGGGTCAGAGGGGGAGGGACCAAGGCGAGCGATTGGCGGAGCAAGTGGGAATGGACCGTACAGAGATGTTTAGCCGAGCTGAGAAACGGATTTGGTCAGGAGTACGGGTGAAGAGTCGAGACTCTGGATTGGGTAGGAGCGGACCTGGGGGCGGGGACATGGCTGCAAAGGGGGCATGGACAGGATTGACAGAAAGACCCTGAAGAAGAGCGGATATTGAGCTGGCGAGCGCTCTTTCTGACCTCAAAGGCAAAAAAGACGAAAACTCGGGGGTGGGGGGGGATACGCGCAGGCTAACCTCCCACCTCCCTTTGCAGATGATCTTCCACGAAAACCTCTATTCTGTGATTTATGTCTTCTTCATGGTCCGGTTGGCTCATTCCCAATAGTTCAACTCACTCCCACTGGTCTAGAGAGGACACTAAAACCCGCAACCGGGCTGTTTGGGTTATTCCGCCTTCTCATTTGTTTGTGTGTGATATCTAAGCTTAGGAGCCCACCTGCGGTACCCAGCATGGAGCAAAGAGCTTTTAGTCAGTGGAACTCTGCCTAGCAACCACTGACGTTACCACAGTCAGGGGGCTGACTGGCTACATTCAGGAACCTGGGGAAACATTTCCTTTGTTACACCTCCTTCCGCCCCCCCCCCCCGCCATAAAGACCACAGAGACCCGCATTTTGCACTTGGCTGATATATTTGCATAAAGCCTGGAAGAAAAAAAACAGCAGGAACAGTGGTAGGCTGTGCTCACTGGCAGTAGAAATCCCACTTCTGAAAAAGAGAAAGGGAAAACAGTGCGGAGAAAATCAGCGGTCGTACCACAAAAGATCTAGTGGTTTTAGCAAAGGCTGTGGCGACAGGGGCCAGGTTTGGCCAAACACGTGCTATGCAAATTAGGCCAGAGCTCCCTGATCTTTGCACCTCTCAATCTGACAGGGACTTAAAAATCACTCCCCATTTTACAGATAAGAAAACCGAGGCAGGGAATTTGTCCTAGCGCACACAGCTACGCTGCCAGGGCGCCAAAAGCAGGAGTATCTTTGTCAATCATCACAACCCCAGGGTCCTCCCTCTGGATCCCTGCCAGCCCCCAAGACACTCACATCTGTCTTCACATCGACTTTGCCAGGTTTCAGGGTCTGGTCCTCACGTACAACACTACTGGGGAAATAGCCCAGGCGAGCAGCTAAATCTCCATAGTAATCTCCCTGAACCTGGAGAGGAAGAAGGCAAAGCCTGGGTCTGGGAAGATGGCAAACTTGTTCCTGCTGAAGATCATAGCACTTTTCTTCTTCCTGATCTCCAGATGGTTGGCTCCATGCTTGTCACTCAGATCTCAGCCTACAGTCACTGCAGGGAGGCCCTCCCTGACCACCTGAAGTAGCCACCCAGTCAGTGTGTATTAATTCTCAGAGGAGCACGTATTTGCTGATATTTTTTGATGGCTTGTCTCCTTCCATTAGAATAAAAGGGATCATTCGCTGTTGTATCTTCAGGGTCTGGAACAGGGCCTGGCACGATAGTGGGTGCCCCATAATGGCTCAACAAGGTAAAAACCAAGTAGATCACAATACCCCTGCCCCCCCCAAACTATTTCAGTCCACCCCCTCAAATTTTCCCTTTGGGTGGAAAATTAGGGTGTACTCCCACCCCAGCCCCATATCCTTTCCTCTTTTGTTCTCCCAAGACTCACACTGCCTCCCCAGAAGAGCCGCCCTCGGCCCTTCAGCTTGGAGAAGACATACACGACTTGGCCCCTGTGTATGGTCAGGAAACGGCAGTCGGGGGCCACGTAGTCCTGAAGGGCGACGGCCATGGAGATGGGGTCTGGGGAAGGAATAGAAGGGAATGACAGCACCCCCCACATGGGCTGGCAGCGAAGCCCCCAGGCCCCCCAACCCCCAACTCTTACAGCTGCATTCCTCATCAGCACACAGCTTGCGGTCAGCCAGCTTGGGCATGGTGTGGCCCCCGACACTAGGCCCCGGGAAGGCAGACAGCAAAATGAGGACACCGAGGAACACTGGCAACCCAGCCATCGTGGACTCCAAGCAAGAGAGTGACCAAGGGGGAAATGGGGTCTCCAATTTCCTTCTGCCCTCCCTCTCCCCAGCAACACAAGGAAACCTGTGTTCTCAGTCCTGTCTCCGCCCTTAACCAGTCCCAAATTTCGCCCACAACACCTAGAGGCTGCTACCCAGCCAGAACCATTTCAAGGACAGGGTGAGGGCTGCCTGCCCAAGGAAACACCCAGATAGGCCCAAAGCAGCCCAGGCCACTCCAAGTGACAGCCACCCCCAGCCCCCTCAACAATCAGAGGCCCAGACAGGCAGGCTGAGATATTTAATTCCATCTTCTCTTGAGGCTGCTTGGGTACCTGGGCCCCTCCGCTGCCCCTCCAAGAACAAAAAACAGGGAGCTAGTACAGAAACTACCTTGGAATTTCCTGTGCTCAAGGACAGAACAAGGCAGCCTTTTGATCGCCAGGAACAGCCCCCACTCTCAAGAACCAAGTATTTTATGCTGGGGCTTATGGCTAGCAATGCTCTACCATAATCCCTATTTATCTTCACAAGCCACTTCCTGACTGGGTGACCTGGGCTGAGCGATTTCTCTTCTAAGAGCCTCGCCTTACTAAAACAGGGACCAGGAAAGCTAAGTTATTTAAAGAGCACTCAGGCGGGCACCTGGATGGCTCAGTCGTTAAGCATCTGCCTTCGGCTCTGGTCATGATCCCAGGGTCCTGGGATCGAGCCCCATATCGGGCTCCCTGCTCAGCGGAAAACCTGCTTCTCCCTCTGCCACTCCCCCTGCTTGTGTTCCCTCTCTCGCTGTCTCTCTCTCTGTCAAAATAAATAAGTAAAATGTTTTAAAAAAAAATAAAATAAAGAGCACTCAGCACTAATTTTTATCTTATTAACTCAAAGGGACACTCTACATCACCTTAAGAGGGCTGCCATGGAAATGGCAGGGGACAGCCTTCAGAAACTTGCCCAAGGTTAGAGCCAGGGAACGGAGGGGTCAGATTTGGCTCCAGGCCCACACCCGTCACTCACTGCGTGTGGAGTTGTCTGCTGCCGAAGGTCAGGAGAAAACGGAGGGGGGATCTGAACTCAAGTCTCAACCTCTAAAACTGCGTCTCCAGTAGATCCCCGTGCCCAAGGTCATTCTCCTGGGTGGCCATCTCCCGGCCTCGGGTCCAAACTTTTGTGAGGGGGCAGTGGATTGGGCCGCATGGGCTTGGGGGTGGGGAAGAATTCATCAGGGGCAAAGCCTGGACCTCAGCCATCTCCACGCACCCAATACCCAGCACCGCCACTGTGGATGGGAGAAACAGCCCTGCTCCAAAGTCACGTCTGATGATCAGCTTTCCTTGATCACCCGGGACTGTTCCCCAGCCCCACCACCCCAGTTGTTTTATCAGAACGCAGTTTTTGCAGTTGGCTTGTCGATTTCATTCACCACTGCGTGTCCTGTGCCAAGAAGAGTGTTTAGCACGATAGGTACTCGGTAAGTATTTGCTGAGTTTATGGTGCTTCCTGGGGGCCTGACAGTGGGTGTATGTTGGCCGTGGTGGTGTGTACCAACCATGAATACCACAGGACTAACATACAGGAATTCTTCCCTTACCTGGGAAGAAAATGAAGCTCGGAGCCGGGACATCAGCTGCTCATGGGGAACAGCTAGGGGGTCCACCAGGCAGACAATAAAAACCAGGATCTACTGACCACAGAACCTGCGGTTGCCAATGTGGTGGGCGAGGCGTTTCCACTTGCCATCGGCAAAAAGGCCTGCCTCTCAGGGGACAACAATCCCTTTCTCCTTTTAGTCTTTCGGATCCTACAAGGAGAAAGACTGTATTTGGTGCTGTAAGTATCACTGCAAACGTGGATGATGTTCCTCTTTAACAGAAACGAGCATAGCATGAGCAGGCTTGGGCTTAGAGCCTTTACGGAAGATGACCAGAAAGAATTGAACACTCTTCTAATATTTATTTTTGTGGTCAATTTTCTACTTCTGGCACATGATCTCAGTTTTCTATGTACAGGACCTGAGAAAGGGTCTTAAGCAATATGTGTATTTTTGAGTCAATTAAAAAAATTTCCAGGGGCGCCTGGGTGGCTCAGTTGGTTAAGCGTCTGACTTCAGCTCAGGTCATGATCTCAGGGTCCTGGGATCGAGCACCCTGTCAGGCTCCCTACTCGGCAGGGAGTCTGCTTGTCCCTCTTCCTCTGCCCCCCCTCCCCATTCTCTCTCAAATAAATAAATAAAATCTTTAAAACAAATTTTTTTTTTCCAGAATCAGGTTTGTTAAGAGACTGCTAAAGAAGGTCCCTCCTTTGATCTCCCTTCTTATCCATAGCTTCAGGTAGATTACATGACTGTCCAATCAGAAACTCCATTTCCTAGATTCCCCTGCAGCCAGGGGACTGCAGGACGTGGTTCGGCCACCTGCCCGAGGCTCCTGGCTGGCGGGTGGCCAGCAGGGAAGATTAGCGGTGTTTGAAGTGGCCACACCCTTTGTGCCTGGTCAGTGGCTTCCCATGTGGGCCGGGCACTTCCATCAGCAGCATTGGCGCCTGCCTGAAGTCCACACTGCAGCTCAATCAGAGACTGCAAACTTCAACTCAAGTGTCTCAAACCCAGGCTACCACTCCTTCTATTCTTCCAATGAATTCCTGAGCACCCGGTTCCCTTCCTTTTCTTCCTGAAGTATCTAGCGTGGTTTCTGGGGACTGTTGCTACGACAGAAGGCATTTTTGTGAAGATTCAAAAAAGGCGAAGAAAAACCTTTCTTAACACTATCAAGTTAGGAAAAAACATACGAATCTACAAAGTAAATAGTGCCCCCTTAAAGGTGGGTGGCATCCTTGTGTAGTACACAACCTGCGCAACTGCACATGGCAGCCTGGGTTTCAATTTCCTGCTCTGAATGCTGATGGAGACAAAACAGAAATTTTTCCAAACTAGTAAAGATGCCTGAAGTAGACAAAGTTACTACATTATTCTGTGTTTTCCCAAGGCGGCAAACCCCAGCATGCTAAGAGGTCCAAACACCCAGAATATTCTGATGTGCAGAAGGCGGCACAGACGACAAGAAAATAAAAACGACAGATGGTTGTGAAAAACCGAACCTCAAAAAAAGCCATTTTAATTCCAACCTAACAGCGCCAGGTGCAATGTCTGGGGACAGACTCTGGGTACAATGCTGTGTGGCGACCACTCAACTCACACACGGCTCTGAGAAGGCCCCCGAGGGGGACTTACCTTCAGGGGGCTGAGCCAAGGGGGGGAAGGGGTGGCCCCAGAACAGGGGGCAGGGGCAGGCAGGGGGAAAAGGTGCTACTTCTTGGCAAAGGAGATCTTCATGGCATTGTTCTGGGTGATCTTGAAGCCCTGCAGTGCATCACGAGCAGCCCCTGCCTGCACCTCATTGTCAAACTCCACAAAGGCGATGTCGTGCCGCCCAGGGACCAGTCGGACCTCCTTGAAGCCAGGGAACCTGAAAGAAGGGAAGAAACCTCAGGGATCCAGACTTGGTATCTCCCCCGAAATGGTCTGGCATCGGGAGCCTAGAGATCAGGAATACTGCTACACATCCTACAATGCACAGTAAGAAAGGATTATCCAGCCCCAAATGCACACAGTGTGAAGCTGAGGAACCCTAACATAAACAAGTACACACAATGCAAACGTGTCATTTAAGGAAATATTTTAACATGAACACCCACGTCTATGCAACCACAACTTAGATCAAGAAACAGGACACACGGGAGGGCCCGGGTGGCTCAGTCGTTAAGCGTCTGCCTTCGGCTCAGGTCATGATTCCAGGGTCCTGGGATCGAGCCCCGGATTGGGCTCCCTGCTCCGCGGGGAGTCTGCTTCTCCCTCTCCCTCTGCCCCTCCCCCTGCCTGGGGGCTCTCTCTCTGTCTCAAATAAAATCTTTGAAAAATAAAAAAATAAAAAAAACAGAACACTGCCCCCATGTCCTTCCCCAATCATAACCCACCCACCCCGTTCCAGAAATAAACACTACCCTGACTTTTTATGATCCTTCTGCCGCTGTTCTTAACAAAGTACGTATTGTTTTACAGAAGGATATACGTGTGATATTGTTTTTTTCTGTCTTACGGAGTTTCTCAAAATTCCCTGTCGTGTTACAAAGAACCATCCGTGCTGCTCTATTCTTCCAACTGCCCCAGAGCAGGTCATGGCGAGTAGCGCGTCTGACCTCTCCCTCTTCCCCAGGCTGGCTCCAACTCCCCACCACCCGGAGGAATGAGGTCCATCCACATCCCTTGGGACTCACCTTAAGAGTATCTTTAGGATATTAAGATTAGAAGCAGGGTCACCAGGTGAGCACATACCCCCTGCTTCACTGAACGCAACAGCCATAGTGGTTACACCCCATTACCAGCACATGAGGTTTCAGTCATCCCCATCTCCCACCAACACAGTTTGATTTTGCAGCCGATTTGGGCCTCTAGCCAGTGCTCGATGCCACCTTGCCGTTATTTTATACACACCAAGCACTTTTCTGATTTAGAGGCTGGAAAGAGGAGGCCCAGGGACTCCCCCACCCCTCACAAAGTCGAGGAAGGTCCCGCACTGCTAGACCCTACCTCCTCAGGCTGTGGGCCTGGCCTCAGTTTCCACCTTTTAGGCCTCTAGTCACTGTCCTGCCTGCAAATCCCAAGCAGGCTCAGGGCTCCACAGCAGAACTCCGAGGCCTGGCCCCATGGTGCCATCTCCTGGCCATTGCCCTCTGGCCCCTGCAAAGCTACTGGCCCCACTTACTGGTTGAAAAGCATGGACAGCATGAGCTCGTTGGTCTCCTCGGGCAAGTTGGTGAGGAATAAGATGTGATTTGGTGGATTTTCTGAAAGCTGCAAGGAAGTGATAGAGCCCATGAGTCTAGGGGTACCTAGTGCCTTCCTGTTTCCCACCCCCACCCCACTTGAATTCTTTCTGCCCCCTTCACCTGACATCGCTGATGTTGCCTGTCTACACCACCTTGCCCCCACCAGCCTACAAGCCACTAAGAGCACTGCTGTATCCATCAGCGGGTGCTCCGCAGAAGTTCACCGAATCAAACCAGGTTCTGGTCGCCGCTCCAGCCTCACCCTGACCGAAGCTCCTCCAACAATCCCTCTCTTTCCCTCCAACAGACCCCCCACCCGTCCCTTTCTATTCCCATGTTCTAGCTGTTTATGAGACCCCAGGAGAAGGAGACACTTACAGGCTGGGCAGGCGGCATCTGCCCCGGCATAAGCTGCTGCGGGGGCATGGCCCCTGGCGGGATCTGGCCAGGAGCCAGGCCTGGAGGGGGGATCATGCCAGGAGGCGGCATGTAGGGAGGCTGGCCAGGCATGTGGTGCATGATGCGGGGTGCCTGGGTCATCGGGGGCATGCCCTGCAGAGAGACGGAGGGCAGGGCTGAGTGGGGCGGGTTTGGTGTCAGCAGGAGGCAGAGCGGACCAGAGGGTGTCAGGAGATCCAGGGTGTGAAAGACACAGGGGAGAGAGCCCAAGGCACCCATGGAGACAAAGGTCACCCGAAGGAAAATGGATGGAGCAAAACTGACCCAGGCTCAAGGCAGATATCAAACTAGAAACTTAAAAAATTTTTTTTAACATAGAAAAACTAGCCAACGTGACCCAACTGTTCATCACTATAGAAAAAAAAAAAAAAAGACAGGAAAATGCTAATGACTGTTAACAAAAGAAGTGGAAGTAAACACTGTAATGAGCAGTTATACTTTTCCTTGGGAAGGGGGGGGAGAAAAGAGACCTACAGCGAAAAGAGGAACAGAGAGCGGAAGGCGGAGATGGGCAGGGCTGGACAGGGCAGATGTGGAGAGAAATGGAAGGGAGCCAGCCCGAAGGCACACAGCTCATGCCCCCAGGGGAGACGGGGCTGCCGGTGGCGTGGGAACCACAGCTGAGGACTCAAAGGTAGACAAAAAGCTGGGTGCAGAAGAGGGGATTGGGTAAGAAGAGGGAAGCTGGGCAGGAACCCCGGGCCCGCTGCTGACGCCAGACAGAAAGTGACCTGGCACTGGTGAAAGCCGGACAAACAGTGTGTGACCCGGGCAGAAAAGCCAACGTGGAGACCCAGCAGTAAGGAACAGATACAATTCGCCTAGCTCTTCTGAAGTACTTTGTGCTTTCTCGATTCTATTTAGAAAACGGGGCATTTCTACTTCTCGGGCCCTCACAAAGGTCATGAAGAGATTTTCCTGTTTCTTTCTAGAAGCTTTATTGTTTTAGCTGTCACGCTGAGGTCTACGGATTCATCTCAAATTAACTTATATAGCTGAAGTAAGACTAATTCTTTGCCTCACAGACATTCAATTCATCCATTTACTAGCAAAAAAAAAAAAAAAAAAAAAGTCCTTTCACCACTGGACCTCGGTGGAGCCTTCACCGGCTGAGAAACCATGCCTATGTGGACCTATTTCTGGACTCTCTTCTGCCACCTGGTCCATCTCCATCCCCTTAGGCCAATGTCACATTATCTTGACGCCTACAGTGGGCCCCCCAGCTTCATTTCTCCTTACCTGCCTTGCCTTGCCTTTCCACAGCCCTGTGGAAATGGACTGCCAATGTCCCCAAAATTCCTGCTGGCATTTTGATCGGAATTGTGTTGAGTGTTTGGGCAATCTGGAGGACTGGCATCTTAACAAGTTTTGAGTCGCCTGTCCATTTGCTGAATTCACCTCCCATTTCTCTCAGTGAATGTTCTATACTTTTAGTAGGTGGTTTTTGCACACCTTTCGTTGGATTTAATCCTGAGCTATTTTAAAATTTGGAGTCTACTTGTTTGTTGCTAGCACAGAGAAATAAAACTGACTTCTTCCACACTGACCTTCTCTCTGGTGAACCTAATAAATTAAATTCACTAATTAATCCAAAAAAGTTGGTTCGTGGCTTCCTCTGGACTTTCTGCATAGACATTAAGACATAGGCAACAAGATTAAGGTCAACGGGAGAAAGAAACCAAGGGACAGACACAGAGAAAGAAAGCTCCTGAAAAAGTTGGGGAAGCACAGAGGCATTTCCAAGTGCAGAGTCTATCACCCAAGTGCGCAATCCCTCAGAAAAAGGCACACAAGTTCTGGAAGGAAATGGAAAGGGAGGGGGCCAGAACCCCAAGGAGAGACCTCCCCCACCCATTGTGCCCACATGCCAGGCCACAAGGCTAAGGCAGGCCTGATGGGGAGAGGGCATCATCTTTGGGCCCTGGCTTACCGGGACAGGCCCCTGGACAGCCCCCACCACGGGGGCGGCTGCCCCACCCTGTACGGCCTTCTTGGCCGCTGGGGTCTCCTGGCTCTTGGGCTTCCTCTTCTCCCGCTTGCGGTCCCGCTCCACGAAGGTGCCCTTCATCTTGGCAATGATATCCGAGTCAGTCTTGGCATACTGAATGCGCTGCCAAACAGAGAGCAGAAGGGTAAAGAGCGTCAATCTCAAAGCCAAATTGCCTGGGTGCAAAAGCAGACCTGTACCAGAGGCTCAGTGAGTAAGGTTATGGAAATCCCTTGGCCTCAACGTCCTCATCTGTAAAATGGGGACTGTGGAAACTTCCCACTTGAAAGGATGACTTTAAGGACTAAATGAGCTTAAGTGCTTGGAATAGTCGCTGGCACGCATTAGGTGTTCCGTCAGTGGGTTGCTGGGATTCTGAAGGGAAGATGGGACAGTCCTGAGCATCAGGCCAAAGGCAGAAGCCCAAGAAAATAGGGCCAGGACAGGAACACTATGCAGGGGGGTTCCAATCACACAAGAGTTTAGACCCCCAGGCTAAAGCTCATGCTCAGCGGTCTATGGAAAACCTCTATTCTGGGGGTACAGCCCACAAAGGCCCCTGCCCTCATGCTGTACGTGGTGAGAAAGACACGAAGAGAAAGATTAAAAAGTGGCCGACTCAGAGCATGCGACTCTCAATCTCAGGGCTGCGAGTTCAAGCCCCAGGTTGGGCGTGAAGCCTACTTAAAAAAAAAAAAAAAGGTAAGAATCGAAAATTTCAGAGTGTGGCTAAGAGAGGCCTCCGTGAAGTGACACTGGTGTAGAGACAGAGAGGAAGATCTAGGAAAAAAGCGTTCTACCAAAGGGAACAGTAGACAAGGTGTGCAGCATGTTCAAGATCAACGGGGATGAGGAGGGAGGAGTTTGGGTTTTTTCCCTGGGAAAAGCTGGGAGCCATGGAGTGTCCAAAGCAGAGAGTGAGGACATTTGCCGGGTGTGCTGGAAGCAGCCCTGGGACTGCACATGGAGAAGAGCCTGTGGGGAGCAGGGGTCCAAGCAGAGACCAGGAAAGCCACAGGGGAGGAGGAAGAAGCAGGCAGCGGCAGAGGTTCTGAAGGCAGGCCTGACAGACTCCCTCACAGAACTCACTCTCACGTGAGTGTCTGAAATGCTCCGCGCGGTGCTTTGGGGAGCAGGGGAGGAGGATCAACACGGTAACACTATGATCTTTATACTTCAAGAGCGAGTTCCCAGCTGTTCCAGAAAAGCAATGGAAGATGCACTAAGTCTGGGCTCACACCCAGAGGTGACAGCAGGCACATCCGTGCCCCCTCCACACGACGGTAGGGTTCCAGGCTACCCCACGGCTCCCAGGGCCCACTGTCTTCCACGGGAGGTGACCCGCCTGGGACCTGGACATACCAGCATTTGCTGTTCCCTCCCCAAGGGAGTTGGGTCAAGGAGGCATAGTCCCATCAGGTGAAACTCCACTGATAGAGGGATAAGGAAAAAGGCCCCAAGAACCAAAGATGGCTGCCAGTGATACGGCAGGAATGCTAGTTCAGGGCGGGAACTTTAAGCCATTCCCCACCACCCAGAATGCAGCCCCGCTGGCTGTCCACTTGGTCTCTTGAACCCCTGCAACCCACCCATTTCTACCCATTCATGGCCCCCACCCTGGTCCTGGCCAGGGCTCCCTCACACCCAGCCTCCCCTAACCTCCCGCCTCTAATTCACTCTCCCCAACAGCCAGAGGCATCTCCCTAAACCCTTCCATGGCTCCCAAGCACCCCCACCCCACACCCACCCTTCGCTCCAGCCAAACCGACTTGACCCACTTCCTCAACTACAAATGCTCCCAGTTATCTAACACTTTCTCCCCTGCCTCCCCCAGCTAGTCCTTCTCCTTTGAGCCTCACATCCAGAAAGCCTTCTCTGAACCCCCAGACTGGGTGAAGTGCCTCTCCTAAGCTCCCCCAAGATCTGTGCACTTCCCCTATCCCAGCCCTGGCCCCTCTGGGTCGTCACCATCTGGGGTCTGAAAGGGCAGGGCTGGGGGCTCCCCCAGTCACTTGGCGCCCCCCCCCCACCCGCCCTAGTACAAAGAACAGTGAACGCTGACCAACAGCCAGAGAGATTCCTGACTTTAGGGGACCGGACTACGAGTGACAGGAGGTCCAGACCCACCTAGTCTGCCACGGCACTCACCATGGGCTTGTCGTAGAAGGGGAAACCCTGCATGGAGCGCAGGGCGTTGGTGGCGCTGCTGACCTCCTTGAAAATGACAAAGGCCTGGCCCCTCATCTTCAGGCTTCGGGAAACCAGGATATCCAGGATCTGGCCAAACTGGGAGAAGATGGCATAGAGGGACTTCTTCAGCTCTGCAGGGGGAGGAAGGGAAGGCCCATGGGTGACTGGAGGTCTTGGTACCTTGTCCTGGGGGCTGAGTTCCTTTTTCAGAGCCGAGCGAGGCCCAGGAGGGAAACCATCAGCCACCTGACACACTGCCACAGGTCGGGAACCCCTCAAGGGCCAGCAATACCAGCAGGGGTGGGTTGTGGGGGCTCCTCTGAGAGCATGGGAGGGTACGGGTACCTCCTGCTGGATGAAGAACAGGAGGCCCACGTAACAAAGGGCCCATGACAAATGCTCGATAAATGTGAGCGTGCTTTTCCCCGTCACCAGCACCTTGACCCAGGCCTGTGTGAGGCGGCCCTGGCCAACCTCTCCAACCTGGTCCCCCCACCTTCCACCCCACCGTTCCTATCTCCAGTCACACTGGCCTCATAGCCCTTTCCCGGGCCGGTACCCGGATGCTGCCTCAGGACCTTTGCCCCAGCTGTTGCCTCCACCACAAGGACCTTTCTCCTGATGTGTACACCACTGCCTCCTTCTAGTCACCCAGCTCTCAGTAAAAGTGTTCCCACTTCAGAGGCCGCCCCCGACCATCCTGTCTTAACAAAGGTGCCCCGTTGTCACTCTCCCCACTCCTTGCACCCTACCTGCTTTTCCTTCGCGGTATTTCCCACCTCCTGACCTCACATTTGCTTCCTTGTTTGGCTATCCTTAACTACAAGCCCCTCCAGTTGGCTTACTGCAGTGGCCCCAGGCTCAGTGAAGATTCTAGCACCCAGGCTTCACCAAGAACATTTGCATGAAGAAAGAGACCACTAAATGTTTTACGGAAAAAACTTCACTAAGTTCTCACCACCACTTCGTGAGACAGCGACCAGAACGGTCTCAATTTTATGAACAGGAAAACAGGCACTCAGAGGATTCATTGCTGGCTCAGGAGGAGTGCCCTGAAGGTACTGGGAAGAAGCTACAGAGCGGGGACCGGGACCCAAGTCCATCTGAACCCCCTGCCACCGTATCTCACAAACAAACTACCACACCTGACAGAAAAAAAAACAATCTTATGCAAAGAAGGCATCTGAGGGACGCCTGGGGGGCTCAGTCAGTTGGGGGTCTACCTTCGGCTCAGGTCATTATCCCAGGGTCTGGGATCGAGCCCCACATCAGGCTCTCTGCTCAGCGGGGAGCCTGCTTCTCCCTCTCTCTGCCTGCCACTCCCCCTGCTTGTGCTCTCTGACAAATAAAATCCTTAAAAAAACAACAACAAAAAACAAAACAAAGGAGGCATCTGAGCTGAAGACACCTGCTGAAAGACTAGGTGAGGGAAGAAAAGAAAATAGTGGGGTAAAGAGGGAAGCAAAATGTGTTTTGGCAAAATTTGCCAAAAATTCTCCTGATGCCATTTCTGGTGTTTCTCTCCACCCCCATGAACCCAGTTTGGGCCTCGGTCATTCCCCTGGACTCTGGGCCTCTCTCCCTTCTCGCCCACTCAAGTTCACCCTCCATACGTTGTCCTCACACCAGACTGTGTCCCTCGCCTGGCTCCCTGATGGCCTCAGGACAAAGTCTAACGGCCCACCCGCCCACAAGATCCCACAAACCATCAGTGCACTGCTCACTGAAAGGTTCTCCCTGTGTCACAAGCCTCAGTCACACAAAACTGCTTGTCGTTTCCAGAATGGCCTGGGCTCTCTTTTGCCGCTAGACATCTGCACATGTTGGTCCAGGTTCGGAACACTCTTCTCCCTCACCACGACATATACACTGTGCTTCCATATACCTGGAAGGCTTCTCTGAAATGTCTCCTCTTCTATGAGAGAGAACAAACCCCTCTGTCGGGATGCCCCATCCCAGTCCTGACCACTCTGCTTATGCTTCCCCAATCATGGCCCTGGCTACTCTGGGCTACCGCTGTCTGGAAGCAGGTCTGCCTTCCCCACTGGACTGTGGCCCCAGGAAGGCAGGACCAGGACTGTCTGTCACCAGTGTTTCCCCAGCACCACAGAGTACTGGCTGGGCACAATACTCTAAAGGCACAAGGGGATTTACATGGCTTGTCTGGTTTTCTTCAACAGCTCAAACTTAATTCCAGCAAACTCCTTTGGTTCTCCCTGAGAATTTTCTCCACCCCTGCCAGAATTTTTTTTCTTTTCTTTTTTTTAAAGATTTTATTTATTTATTTGACACAGAGAGAGTGTACAAACAGGGGGAGCGGCAGGCAGAGGGAGAGGGAGAAGCAGGTTCCCCACTGAGCAAGGAGCCCGATGCGGGGCT